ACGGTACCAGTGAACATCAAGAACAGGGCAACTGCGTGTAATGTGTGCTGCTGCTGAGAAAATTTAGCATCACCCGATTGCTTTTATATTCTATCCCTCTATTTATAAAACAGAGGATTCCATTTGTCTTTTTTCTTCCTATTGGACCATGCCTACAGTCACCTCCCCCTCCTCTCGGCTCGGCGTCCTCCTCTGCTGCTGGCAAGCTCTCTGGGGCGCTATCCTGTGTGAGAGGCGCTATATAAATGCAATTTATTGTTGTCCTTATATCTTTGTAAGATTTTTTTGGTCTCCCACTTTTATGTATAGTTTTTTTTGTGATATATTAACCCTTTGGTGTCTCTGCTCTTCCACTCCTTTTGAAGCGTTACAATTTAATGTACATTTCCTCTCCTTAGATGCATAACATTTCCTCTGCCATCACCCTGACCGAGCCGCATTCTCTGCGTCCTTCCGATGTCTTCCACAGTAAAATCCACACTCCCCTTTTTTGTCTCGTCTGGAAATTTTGATACTTTAGGAAAAATAACCTTGAATACATATTTAGCTATGCTATCGGAAAGCATCGATACTGGAACACACTGGTGTCTAATACAAGGCAATTTGTAATGCAATTCTTTCCTTACTGAAGAAATGGACGTAAGGCATGCCAACTCTGCTCTGATGTAATCTACTTGCAGAGCTCAGTCCCCCATGAGGCAGGGAAACGTACTATGGGAAGCAGACCCACTTGGTTTCCTCATTGAAGGAGCCACTTGGAATCGGCTACATAGCGTTGTCGGAAATAACCTGGCAAATTAACAAATCACCAACGTGTGATTATTTGGCATCTGAATCCCTGCATTCCACCCCCACCTTAAAAAAAAACACAAATTCTCAAAAGTTACTCAAAAACCTTCATAGGAATGGCTCTTGTATTTTGCTCAAAGTCATTAATCTAATTGCACTTTCGGCTTTAGAATCTATTAAAAGTTAATGGCAATTCCAAGATTGGTTTCCGCAAATATCTGCCATCTGCTTCCACTAAGCAACCGGACACGTTGTTAAACATTTAAGGAGGACGCAGCCATAGAGAGGAAGGTCTTAACATTCCGAACCACATTTGTAATTTCCTCATACTAATTTCTACATTATTGCAGACGCACACTGTATACAGTGAGAATTACTTCTCACAAAGGAGGCAGAATAAAGTGTACTGCTCTCAGACTATTTTTTTAAAGAAAATCTGCATCTGCATCTTTACAAATGCATATTATCAATAAGCTCCTCCTGCATATTTCAGGAACATATAAATTATTCACACTCTTGAAATAGTTGCTGATAGTCAATCCTGGATTGATCCATTTCCTACATTCCTTTCGATTACCAAACTATATACTGCAAAGCATGCAAATTTGTTTTGGAAAATCTTGTGAACAAATTATTCTTGCGAGTCTCCAAAACTAGGATGCCTGATTGTTTCAGTATCTTAAAATAGTACATTGGTGTTGGTGGTGGTTGAGTAAGTGGGGGGGATAAATCTCCTTTGAATTATTTTCAATTATAAAGACAAAACTACACAAACAAAAACACTTTCCTTGTTAAGAGCCATAGAAATGTACAGAAATTCAGCAGTCATTTGGTCACTCATGTCCAAAAGAAAGAGCTATTCATTTAATAATAATAATAATAATAATAATAATAATAATCCTTGCATTTGATATAGCGCTTTTCACGTCGGGAGGACGTCCCAAAGCGCTTCACAGAACACACTGTAAAGTGAATTGACTGTATATTTGTGGGCGAACGCGGCAGCCAATTGCGCACAGCAATGTCCCACAAACAGTCGTAGATTGAAAATGACCAATTTATTATTGTTTTATTTTTTTGGAGGGATTATAATTAGGCGTGTGGAGTAAGGAAACTTGCCCAAGGTTTCGCCCTCTGCCTGGAATTGAACTCAGGTCTCTCGCTTGCAAAGCGAGTGCTCTAACCACTGAGCTACAGGACTCCACTTGGTCCATTTGGTCTCATTCTCATTCTCCTGCCTTTCCCTTTTACATTTCTTGTATATTTATATTTTATATACACCTTTTTTATATTTCTCCTCAGATATTAATCTAATGCCCTTTTAAAACCTAATATTGGGTTTGCCTCATCTACTGTTCCTGGTGGAGCATTTCACATCCTAATAACCCTTTGTGTAAAGAACATTTTCCTCTCACTTTGCTCTTTTGGTAATCACCTCAAATCTATGCCCTCTTGTTAACAACTCACCAAAGAAATAATAGAAATAATTTCTCCTCATTTACTTCATTGAATTCCCTCAGATTTTAATGATGTCCATCAAGTCCCCACTTAACCTTCCCCATTTTAAGAAATCAGCTCCAGTTTTTTCAATCTTTCCTCATTATTATTATTATTATGAGTAAGTCTCATTTTCTCATTCCTGGCACAATCATAATGCATCTCCTCTGCAGCCTTGCTATGATCTTGATATCTGACCTAGAATGTCAAAACAAATGATCTCAAAAGTTCTTTGCGGTAATTGCTGTCACGTGTAGTGACTGTTTTCATTGACTAGGGCTGGTTATGTTTAACTTCAAAGCTGGTTCTCAAATGTGTAGAGGCAGGAGCCAGACTGAGGTGAGAGGAACCAATGTCATGTCCCACAAACAGTAATGAGATGAATAACTACATTTAATGTTTATTTTGGAGACTTTAGTCAAGAGAGAAGTATTGGCTGGGAACTCCCTCCACTCATTGGAAATAATGCCACAGGCTCCCTGAAGTCTTTTTAAACCATCAGAACAGACTTCAATGACAAAGTAAACAGACCAATGGGCAGTGTAAGGGTTCAGTATGTCAGCACTTAGACTGACAATAACTTGTCTCCCTGGCCCTGATGGTTTGGCTTGTTTTAGTTCAACCATCATGATAACTGCAAAGGTTGCAGTAATGAAGCGCTTGCTATCTGCTCTGCAACATCTGAATGACTAAGTGTCGAGGTGTTTCGAGCAAACAGTATTCACGTGACGCAGAGGATTCTGGACATCATGGAAGACTCTCCCACTGAGCAGACTAGCTTTTTCTCTGGTATTTCTTCCTTCTACAGGTGGAGTCCTCTGGCTCAGTGGTTAGAGCACTCGCTTTGCAAGCGAGAGACCTGAGTTCAATTCCAGGCAGAGGGCGAAACCTTAGGCAAGTTTCCTTACTCCACACGCCTAATAATAATCCCTCCAAAACCAAAAACAATAATAAATTGGTCATTTTCAATCTACGACTGTTTGTGGGACATTGCTGTGCGCAATTGGCTGCCGCGTTCTCCCACAAATATACAGTCAATTCACTTTACAGTGTGTTCTGTGAAGCGCTTTGGGACGTCCTCCCGACGTGAAAAGTGCTATATCAAACTCAAGGATTATTATTATTATTATTATTATTCACACATGGTAAGGAGGATGTGTGAAACTGCTGCCAGGTAGCTGCCAGGCACTACAGTTCACAAGATCAGAACATTGGTTTGGATGAAGAAGGCCCTTCAACCCATTGGATCTCATCCCTCCCGAACACCCACCTTACTTCCCCCTTCTCCCCCATCATAGTATTAAGCTGCTTTTCAAATGAGACCCTGGCCTCAACCACACTTCCTGGTAACCTGTTCATGAGGTATGGCTGCTCTGAGTATTTGTTTAGTGAAAAAACAATATCCAATTGGGCGCTGAAAATCCAGCAGTATAACACAGTGGTTGGTGTCATCATGGAGAGCAGTGGTGGGGGTGGGGGGGGTGGGGAGGTTCTCAGGAAATGATTTACTGGCTGGCAGTTACAAAGCCATCACATTATTTAGCATCTCTGACATCACTAAAGAAAATTGGAAGCAGAAAGCATTGGATCTTCAAAATGTGTGATATTTGTAACAAGAAGTAAAAGCTCTCGTCCTGCAAAGGTACACCGTGGAGATCGGAGAAGCAAGTGGTTGTGTAACGAGCAAAGAAAAAAATAAGACGCATAAAATCGTTGCTATACGTTTGGGTGCATAAGCAAGCCGTTTCCCCTCGGTTTTCATGACTTGAAAATAATACAATAATCCTTACATTTGATATGGATTCTTTCATGTCAAGAGGACTACTCAAAGTTCTTCACAGAATTTACTGTGAAGTGTAGTGACTGCGCACACAACCAGGGATACATGTGTGAGCAGCATATTACAAAGAACTGGCCTAAATCACAAATCTGGGTTCAATAATCCAGGAAATTCTTCTGGTCATTAATTGTAGTGAAACTGTCTGTGCAATTAAACCATGAATTTTTACCCGTTAGTTCATAAGTGCACATTATTCTTGAAGTGACTACACTTAAGGGCAAAATGCCTTTCCACTTTACATTTAGGAAAAACAATGATACCATGGTGTGTAACAGGCTCCATATATAGAGTGTAGCTTTACTTTGCCCAATCTGTGAATATGTTTCCCTTTCAGCACAGAGCAGGACATTGGACTCATTTAAGGAATAGCTCCATGCTGTAATGGGAAGATGGAAGGCGGTTACTTTGGAAGAATATGTCGAAGGGTCTCCATCTATAACTCTCCTGTGAACTACACCCACAGTTGTACAAAGATGAAACTCATAGTTTTACTCAGTGGTTTTCCCACGATGCAACTGAACAAGAATACATTTCTGTGGTCTTTCCCCCCACACTCAATGTTACCCTCCAAATACAATAGAAGCCTAAAATAATAATAATAATAATAGGGGGTGCTATCACTGGTCAACATATTTTCAGGGTGACGTCACTGACCACCTGACCAGTGACCATCACCACGCACAGAGGGCATTCACAGGAAGTGATGTCAGCAGCAATCTGATGACCTGGAAGCCGGCCATATTTTGATGGGCAGAAGGTCGGCCAGCTGGCACATGGTCAAGCCAATGCCCATAGGGTACCCACACGCCTTATAGACAAACCAGCTTTATATGGGTGGGGGGTTCTATTGTAGCTCCCGGCAGTTTTCTCTTACCTGCTAAGGCCTTGATGCGAGATCGCTCGAACAACCTGGCAGAACTGTTTTCATTGTCCCATTCATCCACGTCCCAGCGATTGTTGACATCGCTGTACTGCTGCTGGATATCAATGTTGTCGAAATCTGTTGCTATCGCCGTCATGTTGACTTAGCTGTTTCTCGTCATCAGCTGCCCTTCGCTGAAAGGTCTGCAAACACACGCCAAGAGCAGGTTATTAGACAAACAGGTGATCTTGCACTACAGTATATATTTCTACTGCTGTATTTATTTAACAGTTACACTTAGAAAACGATTTTTCATGAATCGCTTCAGAAGGGATCGATGCAAGCTGTTTAATCCAAGCTCCCTGACAATGTTTCCAGGGGAGCCTCAAAAATGCCCAGGCAATTTTCATGAAACAATGCTTCTGGACTGCTTTGTGCCTCCGTTACCAAGGCTTCTGTTTTTGTTTGCTACCCAGAGACTCCTGGTGAGATGTGTGTGTGAGGAGTGAGGAGAGAATTGGGCTCCCCGTGAACAAATAACTTGTTACACTCACCGTCAAGATTTGCGCATGAGTAATGGTCAGGTTAATGGAAGGTAGGTGCCTGAGGAACCCTACCAGTGTGGAAGGAAAGGGCAAGTCAAACCCCTTAAGGTGGAGAACATTTATTTATTTTGTATTTATTTATTTTGTATTTATTTTTTGAGAGGGAAAGGGAGGAATTAAATAATAAGAATCCTTGCATTTAATATAGCACCTTACCATGTCTTCAAGACGTCTCAAAGTGCTTCACAGATTATACTGTAAAGTGAATTGACTGTATATTTTGTGGGCCAAACATGGCAGCCAATTGCGCACAGCAGTGTCCCAAACACAGTCGTGGATTGAGTGACCAAATTATTATAATAATTTATTTTATATAGAGATAAAAAGGGGCTCTTATGCCTCAAGCACTGGACATTTAATGCAATGCTTTACGTACAAGGCAAAATTTCTCGGTTCTCTGAATGTTTTGTGGAACCTCTACAAGCTGTCTGAGCCTCATGAATTCAGAGTTGCTCAGATTGGCGTGCATGCCTGCTGACATCCAGGAAGCTCGCAGGTGACACGTAAACCATTCATTCACTTCACGATCTTAAAGAGATTGCCGAGCTTTGACATTCAGTCTCATCCCTTCCTTCTGATTTGTCGCAGCTCACAGAGGCAGGAGACTGAAAGAGTCTTATCAAGTGACATTTCTAAAGTTGGTCTTAATCCGATCAGCAAAGGCAAGAGTGCTGCTTGCCTTCCAAACTCCTTTTTTTTGCAGGATAAAAGCTTTCTTTTCCACTTCATGTTAGATTGTTCACATGATAATTTTTAACAAAACATTAGCCGAGAAAAGATCAATCGGCCCATTAAGTCTGCTATTTTTCTTCCACGAGTCACCAAAGCAAATCTGACTCTCCTACTCCCTCCACATGTCATAGACGTTTACAGCACAGAATAAGTCATCCATCCCTGTGTTTGCTCTTTGAAAGAGTGATCCATTCAGTTAAACTAAGATCCCATATGCCTGATGAGGTGGATGCCAAAGATCCCATGTCACTACTTGAAAAGAGAAGGGAGTTTCTCCCAGTTTCCTGGCCAATAAATCCCTGAAATAAAATTAGTCACTTACTCCATAGCTATTTGTGGGACGTTATTGTGCACAACTGACTGTCACATTTCTCTCACAAAAAACAGTCAAACCACTTTACAGTATATCCCTTGAAGTGCTTTGAGATGTCTTGATGACATCATAAGGTGTTATATCAAATGCAAGGATTATTATTTTATTATTTTATTCTGTGAAGCACTTTTACACGTCCTTACAATGTGAAAGACACTATATCAAATGTAAGGATTATTATAATTTCCCTGCCTTTCCCTGCCTATACTTCTGCAAAATTACTCCTTCTTAAATATCTGTCTAATCTGTCTTTAAGGTGAATATGGATTCTGCATCAACCACTGTGGTGCAGTCTACATTTTAACAACTCTGTGTAAAAAAAAACAGCTTCTTAAATTGACACCCTTAGTCATTAACTCATACTCTAATATCCTTCTTTCCCGAGCATCATGCCTGATTCCCTGTTGGAATGATTTGTGGACTCTGCCTCAACGACAAGTATATGGCAGGGAATTGCACGAAAGATATTTTTCTAACCTCCACTTTAATTCCTTTTGCGATGCCCTCAAATTTATTTCATTACTGATTGGCTCACACTGCGCAATTTTACTATTTATACTTTTTACAGCTGCATCACCCTTTCCTTTGTGTGGTATAGCTGTAAAGTTCTGTTCATCAGTTAACATTGAGGGAGTTGAAAGGCATCTTAACAGATCATCTTCACTGCACCACCTACTGCGTACACTCGCAAACCTCAAACATGCAAACCTTACCGAATGCAATAAAACAACGGACACAAATTGAAAACACTGCCAGAGGCGCCCAGAGTCTTTGAGTGGAATCTTTGACTTGTGCTGTTTAGCAAAGGAAAAAAGGGGGTTGTAATTCCCGTTTTTCACAGAACAATATTGAGAGGGGGGGGAACACTGTAAATATAGATTTGCATTCAGAAACAAAATATTCCTAAAACAGGTTCCTTAATTTTCCAATCGAGCCCTCTCTCACTGCTTCCCCACAGCCTGTTCTCAATCGCAAGAAATGCCCAGAGCTGGACTGAAAAATGCTCTGAGCTGCCACCATGCTTTTCCCACTTTGCAAGGTCGCACTTTTGCAAACCAGAGTGGATTTCCAGCCACAGTATTGATTTGGTATTTAATGTTGCATGAGAGGGTAGTCGCCAACGTCTGCTGGAGTGGCTTGATGGGCCTTGGAGGCCCTGTCCATTCATTTCTTTTCCATGCATCTGCGCAGTTAACTTGTTACTGTGTAAAGCAGCAACGAAAGGTTGCAGTCTGAGAACCAAACCTTCAACTCAGGCCCAGCTGCAGGCAGGGACGACCAGCAAGCCTCTCTCAATACATTGCTGCACAGAATAGCCGCCTAACCTTACCGCAACCAGAATCTCTCTCTCTCTCTCTCTCTCTCTCGAGAATTCTGGAGCTCAACAACAGCATAAAACACAAGATTTTATTTTATTTTGCTATCAAGCTAAAAGGTTGTGACTGCTGAGTCATGTAAAGATTCGCTTCACGCCCAGTGTAAGCAATGAGTGCTCGCAACAGGCATAAATAGAGCATCTGCAGTTCAACAGACGCTTGAGGCTGGCCCAACTAGTCACTTCAAACTCCAAATACCCCCATTTGCTGGCTTCCACATGAGTGGAATTCACACACCACCTGCAACAGAAAGGTTGGACTTTAGCCCTTCTCGTTATGATGCTTTGGACCCTAAGTACCTGAAGTGAAAGGACAGCGTTCCAAAAATTACTTTGTTAATGTGCAATCGATTCTGGCTATCTCTGGAATTTCCATGGTTAGGTGGGGTGCATGAAATTCTCAGCTTGGTTTGGATACTCTTAAGCACGGTGGTGGGTTTCCGCATGTGTCCGACACCCGGCTGAGCTCCCCACTAAATTTTTTTATTGTGATACCATCGCCTGATGGTATCATATTGAAGATGCACTTCAACATGGTGCAACTCCCTCTGTCATTCGCAGCTGAGAAGGAAGCTGTGTGACCTGATGCCAACACTCCAGCACCACTTACTGAGCACTCCTGTCCCCATGGAGAGCGATCTTCACAGCAGCGTGGTTGGTTGTGATCATCAAATTCACAGTAATGGATGGTGGGGGCGATGAGAGAAACTGAAAGACCTCTGTAATGCTTCACCTTATTGCTCCAAATTATTGTGCCAGCGCTCTATGTATTTTTATTTGTATTATAATAATAAGCCCTGGATTTTGCATAGTTGGGTGAACGAGGCATCCAATTTGCAAACAGTAATGTCCCACTATAGGTGCCAGAAGAGGGTGTACCTGAAGGCTAATCTACTGAGGAAATGCATTGTTGGTTTTATTTCAACGATTTTCCCTTTTCAGATTAAATATTTATTTTTCTTGCATTTTTCATTTCTATTTCTGTTCCTTCCTTATGACGGGTGTTTCACAGTTGTACATCTTAGTTACTGCCACAAGATGTCCCTGCAGCCCTATACATGGTGCCAAAATTTACCACAGACATAGCGAGAAGCAGTAAGTAGTCTTTTACTGCCGGCTGCTGGCCCCTTAACATTGAGACGCAGGCATCAGACGCAGATACAGACCAGAAAACAGCACAGAAGGTTATTGGGCTCATTGTGTCTGTGCTAGCTCTTTAATAGACCAATCTATTCAGTCCCATTTACCCGCCTTTATGACACAAGACCTAATGGATCAACATATCACCAAATATCAACAGCAGCTGTTATTTCTGAAGCAATCACGTGAACCATTATTAAACTTCCTGCACAAGGTACGTTTTGACGGAAGTAAGTATATTAATCAAAGCAAATTAACCTGACCAGGAAGAAGTTTGGGGGGTGGTGGGGTACAGAGAGAAGAGACTGGGATCAAGAGAAACAATAAAGTGCCTGGTTAAGACTGATAATTTGCCCACAAAATATACAAAATATGATTGTGATTCACCCACAAAATATACAGTCAATTCACTTTACAATATATTCAGTGAAGAGCTTTGAGAGGCATCGACAACGATTATTATTATTATTATTATGATAGTAAAAATGGCTTTTATGATACAAGTATGATATTCACATTTTGGCATAATTCAATTCAGCAACAACTTGCATTTAGATAGCATCTTTCACACGAGATAGTGTTTCAAGGTACTGTACAGTGGCGGGAGTTGGGTGTTGAGCAAGGGGAAAAATGGGAAGGGGAGGTGACCTTAGGCAGAGCTGAAGAGGTAGAGCTTCAGCTTGGCAATTCACTGAATTCCTTCATTCACTGGGTCTGCAGATCACAGTTGCCACAGTTTTCCGTTTCATGTGTTCAGTCAGTTTTGGTGTGGTACTGAGATGCGGACAGCCCCAATTTATTATGCGAGGAGAATGCAGCAACTTGAATGTGCCTTTCAGCTTGACCTCATCACCAACACAGATCTATACTTAGGGTTTAACCGCACTCCCAACGGAATCAACCTACATTTCTAGGTACCCAGCCATATCTTTCTTTCTTGTTTAATTGTCATCACTTTGCAATTAGGGCAGCAATTTA